ATAATTTTTGGTATAGTAGTTGTGACTTATTCACACTATATACATTTGACTTCCGCAACACACATAGATAATATCTGACATATTTTAGCTTTCCCAGCCACTCCCTCCGCACCTCCAGTAATGAACTTTCTTTCCAGCATTTTTGCTACTTGTAAGCACATTTGATGGATTTCTTAACTGTCTGTTATCCAGTGAGAGGGATGATGACCCTTGTTGGTCCTGAGGGACGGAGGAGGCTAAGTTAACCGAAAGATGGTTATCGTGTCCCTGCTTTTTCAGGGGTAGAAAACGAGCCAATTAATGTTCGAATACCAGGCGCTACGACACTGAAGTAACCCATGCCATACTCCCAAGAAAAGCTCGAATGACTACCTCGAGATAGCCCAAAATTATGGTAATTAACTACCTTTGAATCCTTGAATTATTGGTCAACTGCACTTTTTTTTTAAATCATGCTATTGACCTGTATTAAGAAGTTGACATCTTTTACATTGAACATATTTAATGGAGGTATGCTTATAGTATGTTGGTAATGTTGGTGAACTTGGTCTTCTTAGAGCCTCTGATTCGGTATGCCTCTACTCTTCCCCTTCTCTCTCTCTCTCTTTTTTTTTTTTTTGATTCGGTATGCCTTTCACCTTCCTTGGCTTCTTTTTTTGAACGATAGGAAGCATATATATTAATACGAAAACAATCTTACACCAAAGTTATATAGTCCCGAAGGACATTACTATTATTTAAAGTTACTAAACTATTACAAACACTTGTACTTAGTTGCTTAATACCCAAACAGAGGCCTTGTATGTCCTTTTCCAAAATGGCTTCAACAAAAAGAGGTGGGCATGCAACATGATAGCACTTCTCTGGCTTGAAATTCTTGACTGCTTCCTTAGCTAGGCAATCTGCTACTGCATTTCCTTCCCTAAAATTGTGCCTGATCACCGGGGATTTCAGTTGGCGCATTAATGATCTACAGTTAAGTAAACATGCATTAGTACTAATATTCTCATCAGAAAGCGCCTTTATTATATCCGTTCAGTCTGATTCAATTTCTGTATCAACAAATGGCATCTCCATAGGTAATTTTAAGCCTTCTTCTAAAGCTAATAGTTCTGCATGCATGGAACTGTAAGTGTAACAAGATTTTGTGAAGCCCATGATCCAATTACCAGAGCTATTTCTAAAAACTCCTCTTATACCTGCATGGAACTTATCTTTCAAGAATGCCCCATCAATGTTAAGCTTAATCTTGTTTGGAGGAGGTCTTTCCCAGTGAATTTTGATCCTAACAGAAGAATTTTGTATGGGGTTTTTTTCAGTAAAGAAGAGAAATTCCCATATTTGATGAAAAACCTGTTTAGGGTTAATGTCCATATTCAAATTGTTTGTGTTATTTTTATTTCTATTCTTCCAAAGGTTCCAAATCGAAAAAGGAAGTATAATTTTCCAAGGATAATGCTGATGATTGACATGGCTTTGAGCATTCCTTAGAATAGCTAACCAGTTTGATTGAGCATTATTATGATTAATAATTAGACCAATACTTGTGACGACCTGACCAGTCTTCACGTGAGTTACCGCCCCGTTTCCCCCATTTTATGCTTCTTCATATTTCGTTATCGGTATTCGGTGTGTTAGAGTTAAATCGGATTGGTTTTAATAAGAAATAAGACACTTAGTCTCTTTTAAGAAGGTTTAAGTTGGAAAACTCAATCGGATGTTGACTTATGGGTTAGAGGGTTCGGATGTGAGTTCTGATGATTCGGTTAGCTTCGGGAGGTGATTTGTGACTTAGGAGAGTGATCGGAAGTGGTTTTGGAGGTACGGTATAGAATTAGTCTTGAATTGGCGAAGTTAGTATTTTGGCGAATTCCGGTTGATAGGTGAGATTTTGATCCGAGGGTCGGAATGGAATTCCGAGAGTTTGTGTAGCTTTGTTATGTCATTTTAGACTTGTCTGCAAAATTTGAGGTCATTCGGACGTGGTTTGGTTGGGTTTTTGATCAAAAATGGAATTTGGAAGTTCTTGAGATTCATAGGCTTGAATTCGATGTGATTTGATGATTTTTAGTGTTAGTCGAGGTGTTTTGATGATTGGAACGAGGTTGAATAATGTTTAGGATGCATTGGTGCTTTTGGTTAAGGTCCCGGGGGACTCGGGCGTGTTTCGGGTGAGTTTTGAGTGAGTACGGACACCCCGGAACTTAGAAAATGGAGGGGGCAGCAGTTGTGGCACGGACCGCGCTCCTTTTCGCGCTGGGCGCGCTAGCCTATCGCTGACCGCGTCAAAGTGGGCGCGGGCGCGGTCACTGAAGACTGCAGGTTACTGGTCCTACTTCGGAAGCTCATATCTTTTGGTCCACAAGGAATTTTGAGGTGATTTTAAAACGAAAGTTGTATCCCTTTGTGTCTAGTTTCCAGAAAGGTAAAGATATCGCAATTTAGACATCTGTAGCGAAAGTTATGGCCAAAATACTAAAGCCTGTCCCTGCAGAGCAAGACCTGCGCGGCCGCAGTTGTTTTTGTGCGGTCCCCGCTGGTTTTGCGCGGACCGCGGTCATTTTTGTGCGGTCAGCGGTGTCGGAATCCGAGGGGTACTCTATAAATACGAGGTTTTGGGTTTTTATTTGATATTTTGACCTACAGAGCTCGGATTTTGGCGATTTTTCGAAGGTTTTTCAAGAAATTGATCGGGGTAAGTGATTCTAACTCTGATTTGGTTAGAATACATGAATCTATCACTGAATTTATCATTTAATTCGTGATTTGAGATGGAATTTGGGAAGAAAATTGTGGAACCTTTTAAAAATGTAAAATGATGATTTGAAGGACCAAATGGTATCAGAATTGGATAATTTTGGTATGGTTAGACTCGTAAAGGTATGAGGATTCTCAAAATATAAATTTACCCGATTCCGAGACGTGGGACCGGGGCTCGGGTTTTGCTAATTTCGAGATTTTTGATATTTTTCGAATGTTTTCGCTTGGGATTTGTTCCCTTAGCATATTGTGACGTATTCATTCTGATTTTGGATAGATTCGACGCGCGTGGAGGCCAATTCAAGGGGCAAAGGCGTCGTGAGCTAGAGAATTAGCTAGTTCGAGGTGAGTAATTGATGTAAATGATGTCCTGAGGGTTTGGAACCCCAGAATTTCACATCGTAACGCTATATTGAGGTGATTTGCACGCCGGATAACGGGCGTAGGGTAGAGCACCGTTGGGGATTGTGACTTGGTCTATCCCGAGAGATATTTTACTACATTTTTGGTTGAGATGTATACTTTATTATTGTGAATTGGGCTTGTTGCCATGCTTGGGGCCTTGTGCCGACCTGTAGAACCCTTAGGGGATTTTTGATTGGTTTTCCTCACTTATTTTGTTAAAGAA